CTCACCCCCTATTACATGGGACTCGTAACATAAATAGTGAAAAGTGGGTGTTACATTGTACAGTGGCATTAAGTGCCGTAATGTGCACCTCTGCCTACTCCTTCGGGGATAAAAATGTGTGATGTTATGTGTATCTTTATATAAATCCATTTTATTTTATAAAGTTAATGAAGTACATGACTATGTTTTCACAGATATATGGCTGTGAAAGGAGTGGTTTGTTCCATGCATTCTCAAGGCATGTAATCCATTCTTTGAATATAAAACTGCAGCCACGAACTAATGACAAAGTGAGAGTGACTCTCCTATCAAGAGGCACCACATATCGCTCCATACTCAATGAAAAAGCAATTATTGATGCTTTAAGTAAAGTGGAAGGGTATGAAGTACAACGCGTGGTGTATGACAGAACAGTGCCGTTTCTGAAGCAGTTGGAAATTACTCATAACTCCGATGTATTTATTGGCATGCATGGCGCTGGATTAACGCATTTGCTCTTTTTGCCTGATTGGGCAGCTGTATTTGAAGTGTAAGGAAGTCAAGTATTAATTTAGAAATACTTATTGTTATCTATTTCTATTGTATTCAGTAATGAATGGATAATAATAAATATATTTTACCTTAAACTACCATAAGTTCTACTATACATAAAATCAAGGTTATTCACTCGTTTAAGGTTATTAACAGAATTTTATATTTTTTCAGGTACAATTGTGAGGACCCTAACTGTTACTTGGACCTAACACGGCTTCGAGGTTTAAAATATGTTACTTGGGAAGACAAAACTAAACTTGTCCAACAGGATGAGGTTACTCTTTGTATAATTTACATTTATATAATTATTTGAGTAATTAAAAAGATCTGGAATTCAGTATTTATATTATGCTCAATTCTAGAACCTGTTGTATCTTTTGTCACATAACACTTACTTTTGACCAGTTTTTATGTCTCTTGTAATAGAGGCTATTGCTATACTCTAGGTTCAGCGTTATTGAGGGTTCTAAATCTAAACAAAATTACAATAGCGCACTAAACACCTGTTGTACGGCATGCGGCATAAGCATTTGAAATGTCTCGATCGATGTTTGTAGTAATGGTTGTTTTATAAGGATTTATTTATTATTTTCAGGGTCATGGTCCTGGCGGCGGTTCTCATGCTAAGTTCACGAACTATTCCTTCGACGTTCGTGAGTTTCTACGACTGGTAAAGAAATGCGCTGATCACGTACGTAAACAAAAAGCCTTCAACGACCTCCTCGCGTTATCCGGACTACGACAAACACACCAAGAGTTGTGAGGTAGCTTCATTGACATAATTTTTGTTTCCTAACTTGTGATAATAATCTCTAATTGTTTTACATTTTATTCATTCCAGTTAAGTTAAATTAGTTTTTAAGTGTACTTTCGTTACTTATTTTTGTCTTTAGTTGAAACATATTGCAAGTATTACGTGTGCAATGACAGAACAAACAAAAGCGCCCAGCAAGACATATTTGTAGTTAGTTCTCTGGGACGTAACAAGATGTCGCTTTCTAAAGATAAGTATTGTAAATTGCGTCCAATTTTTTTACATTATTAATAATGGATAATGATTTTAATTAGTACAGTCAATATGTATGTTTTTCTTGGAAGTGTACATCAAATGGATCAGGAGCATGGGGAACTTTATTTCAAATCTTTTTACCCATTAGAATCCATATTCTAATTTTATAGTGCCAGTTCAAAAAAAAAAAGTCAGGTTGAGTCAGGTTGGAAATGACTATTTCTACTCCTTTCAATTTGATCCAAACTTCCAAGGACACCCTGTACCTCGTGCAGTACGTACAGGTTGTTTTCATAACATGGTATGAAATTGTTGTTACATGTTCATTCTATGTAAAGTTCATGTTTATTTTTGTGATAAGTATTATGTTTATTTAGTATTTTATAAGTTATAGTACAACATTTTCACGCTTGAGTTCTTTTCAAATTCACAGGTATTAGACGAAAGTACAATCCAAAACAGACAAACTATGACATTAGGTTGTTAATTTTTTTTTAAACATTAAGTTAGTGTACAGGAGAAGCGAATGCATAAGTCCAATACTTTTTGAAGTATTAAAGCTCGGGATAACTATACCAACTAAGGAAAAAGGGGAGTAGAGGGTGTAAATGGAACACTCCTGAAAAACACCAACAGGTGATGGAAAAAAATAAGAATTCATTTTAATAAAAGTAAGGAATAAAATGTTTATTTTATGTTATAATAGTTTTAATAAACTGCTCAAGGCTGATGTTGCATGAATAAGTCAATACAAAAACCATTAAAATTATAAAAATAATTTATTTTTGTCAGCGTTTCGTTTACACCCTATATTTTGTTAAGTCTTATGGAAGAGTTTTGGATTGGTTATTATAATGGTATATTCGAAGCAGCTGGGTACAATGCGGTTTGTAAGACAAATCATAACTAGACAATATAAAAATAGAGAATTGTCTTCGGGTGGGATATTGATGTAAAAAGCATTAAAGAGAAAAGATTTAGAATACACATAATTATTATTAATTTTTGTACATACAAGAGTTAATAAAATAGTGCTAGTGATATGAAAGGTGATGAAAGAGTAAAACTTGTAACAGAAAAGTATGAGTTACATTACTTAAGAAGTTATAAAAAGAGGATGAATAAAAGGAAAAATTTTGCAAAACATTATCCAGGAATTTTTGACCTAATGTGAAAGTGTCAGTAGATACAATTTGAGGCGAAAAAAAGTTGATAACGAAATTATGCTGAGTACACAGAAGCCGTTATAATGAAAGGGTGGCACGAAGACAATCCATATTGAAATTGTATTCATTGGTTAACGTGTTTTCCTTCAAGATAAGCATGACGATAGGATTTGTTAAGGAATCTCATACTGGATCTAATAAAAACTAATAAAACTGTATCAGTTCCGAACAAAAACATTCGAATTATAGTTAATAGCTTCAATATATTTCCAAACAAAGTCAAAATCGGTTTCAAAGAATTCGTTTTCGATCATTACATACTACATAGTCATTAGCAAAGGTCTGCATGAACTCACACATAATAATCCTTGAAAAATTACAATGAATGTTGTTGATATAATCTGGTTAATTTATTATTTGGTGAAGGCACCGCTAGTTTAATTGTAACAGCGCGCCTCGAACGTTAAGTTTCATAATTACAGTTTGCGATATTCAGATAAATGTTCACAACATCGGCAGAGAGCCCGTGACCACTTGTTTACATGTACCTACGTACGGTAACACTTCTCTCGTCGAGACCGAGACCTTCTTATATGTCATTATTGCTGTACATTTATTTCTTTGTGATTCAATATTTTATTTATTTGTTCATAATATTTTTAAATCAATTATTGTTCTATTTACCAATCTATTGTAAGAAGTCATGATTGATGGTTTTTATGAGATTATTATTATGTGTAGGTACCTAAATGATATTCATTATTGAGTGCAATTTCAACTCAAGTTTAATTTTAAGTTTCGTTTAATGTTGGTAGTTATTTTATTAAGAATAAATAGTGCAAAAATGGTACACTAATCAGATTTAATTTTTTTACTGAGTTAGTATTTTAATATTTGATATAGTTGTATAAATTCTACCTTACCTACCTTATTTTACTGCTTTTTTATACATTGTCATGCCGTCGGTACAGTCTAATCAATAATCATAGAATATTAAAGATTATTTCTTTATACCGATTTTATCCACTAATCTCTTTGTAATATATGTTTACGCAATGAAATGAGATGTAATGAAATGGATCGACATTATTGTTTAGTATTGAGACGGATCCCTAAAATGAAAAGAGGTCGAATGAGAGAGCATTAAATCGTAAAACAATCGCATAATGTGGAGGCAATATTTACAGAGGGAAATTAATGAACGGTGCCCTCGCGCGCCCTCGGGCCTTACGTTCATAACTTTTTGGCGTAACCAGATCGTATCTCTAAATAAAAATCAAGAAGTTAATTGAATAAAATAACTTTTTAAATAAATAAATTACTCCCGATGGGAGTTGTATTAGTTATATTTTATTTAGAATTAACATGTCTGTGATCTGTAGTACATATAGAGTGAGGCATTTAATGTTTAATGAATTATAAGTAAAATTAAAGTTAAGAACTTGACATCCTACGTTGAAGTTTTCTCTAGATTACAGAATAGTGAGACACTATCGTCGATTGTACAGCCACTGCGAGAGCCGTGCAGCGTTTAATAAATATAAAAATACTTATATACTTACCTAATAGGTACCTGCGTACTTAATATTATTAATGCCTAATAAACGTAAGTGTATGTAACTAATAGGTGTGTACCTACTTACATTATGATCTTTGGTCATCACCAATCATTGTTAAATCTCACGTTATATACTACCGTCGTAGCTAATACGTACTTACAATTATTGATTCATGTTATATCAGTAATATCTTTCCTTAGGAACTAAAGTTACTTAAGATCTAATGTTTTGTACCTTTGTTTTTAATAAAAGATTTTCAAAGTACTTGTTCTTATTGACTTACGTTAACAATGTTTGAATAGAACATTCCAAGAAAATAATAAATGGAGGGCGTATATGGATGGATATTAGAAACATTAGGGCAGGGTGCAAGCGCAGTGTAGGCGCAGCGCAGGCCGCGGGCTCGCAGGCGGCGCGGCGCGGCGGTGGCGGAGTGCCGGGTGGTCGGCGATGCGACGACGCTGATTCATGTCGCTGATAGCAATCGCAGGCGCCGGCGCCCAGTGCTATTTTCTAAATTTATCACCATTCGTATTCGCCTACCACGCGTACCATAGTTTTGAATAAAGGCATCTATAATTCTAGTCGAAGAAAACATCTAAGTTTGATCTCGACCTGGATCTGATTTATAGACTAATAATATTATTGAATAACATACACCAGAAATTAGTCTGAAAACGAGTTAAAATGATGGAAATGGAAACACCTTTGTGTTGAAGATAAAGTAGTAAACATCTCATTGAGCGTTAAAACTGCATTGGTGTATTACAGTATTTATTTACAACAGTTTAGATATATTAGGTATGTTAGATATAAAAAATCCTCTAAATATTGGAGAAAGTCGACTGATATATTTGACTGGTGGCACTTAAGAGTTTCTTAAATATCTAAACGACGGCGACGTACGATCTCTGTTGTTTTCTGTAGTCCGAAATCAAACTCAATTTAGGCATATGCCATAGCTCCCATGGTAGTCAAAGATAACACCTTACAATTTACAATTTCCACAGTAACAAGTCACTAGTCAAATGCACATTCATTCTTTTCTGGAGATGAAGGTATAGAAGACCGAACTTATAAGACTGTCGTGCTCGATAGTTGTGCCTTGTGCCCATGATCACAGGTACCTAATGTAACTCCAATAGATAATAATGAGGTTGGTACATACCTCCACCTTCCGAAGTCATCTTAAGGCTTAAGTAATAACGATTCCACCAACAAGCCCTGTTACAGTCAATTGCTGGTGTAAGTACCTAGTTAGATGTAACGAATGGTGATTGGAAAGCAATTTTTACAATCATAACAAAATGTTTCATCATTTGTATCAGTATCAGTAGGTAGGTACCCAAACAAACACCTATGTTCACCAGGATGTCTTGTGGCTGATATGACGATGATGACCAAAACACAAAATAAAAATAAATGAAAGTCCAATATCTTCGCTAGTTACCTATAAAGCGGAAAATATCCATCTACTATTGTTTACTATCAACTATGTCAAGTGGATTAACGGCACCTGAGAACACCAAGTGTAGGTATACAAGAAAGAATTAATCTTGAGCGTACAAGCAGTTATTTATATAATAGCAGCGCGAATTAAGGCAACAAGTCTCAGATTAACAATGGCAACAAACAAACGGAAGGTAACAGAACGAAGACAAACATTCGTGGCTCTTTCAAAAGCACACAATAGTCGTCATCAATTACAGGCAATAGATCGCCCAACATCATTTGTCCGTCCGTCCGTTACTCGACTGGGGCATTCCCACGGCTCTCGGGACGATCGTGTTTGTTGTCGGAATATGTCCAACGAGAAATAGTAATAGAAAATTGTTTCTGATTGCCTCGCTCTCTACCTACTTTGATCGCCTACTCGACGTCCACGTTCCTATTTTTACTTGCGGAATTGAGCTTAGGTAAGTAAGTACCTAGGGTATATTTGGTTTCTTACCTTATCAGGATTGCAGTCAATACGTTAAGGAAACTTCTTAAGGAAATGTACATGATCCTTTGGAATGCGATATAAACAACGTCAAAAATATTAATGGATGCCATGTATGTGATATTATAGGTACGTAAGTACTTACGTACTCACTCGGCAAAATCACGGAGTAAATTCCAAGTTTATAATTATGCAGAACGATGCAAACCGTTGTTCTCCAGATATTATCAGATATAAGACCGAAGAGAAATTGCTCCGATCAAAAGATAATCTCGCCGGAACCAAAATTGATCATTGATAGGAGGCGCGCGCGCGTCCTGCCGCCTGCCACCAGTCCACGCCCACGACAATGTTAACTCTTTTTAATTTCAAGAAGTTTGTTACTGAAAATTGGCAATTTATTTTAATAACACCAATACGGGAAATATTTATGTGGCTGAGGTCTTTCAATGTTTTTAAAGCAAAACTTAAGATAAACGTATACACAATGCAGGTATTTTAAATGTTAGGTAACATAACTACACATTATTGGTCCTGATTATTTAGGTCACCTCTCAGTGTAGTCAGCTTCATTCGATCTCTCGGTCAATAAATATCAGATTAAAGTGCCGCTATTGTAGCCTTCACGCACAAACTAGTACCGTGGCTTTCAATAACGGTTCGCACTATGCAGATTATCACTGGGGCGATAACCACGACGTGAAAGCGATAGCGGCGACACGATGCAGTGGAGCGGGTGGCGGCGCTGTCCCGTGGCGCGGGCGCAAGTGCTCTGCACCGCATGCGCGAGGGACGCGTGACGTGCCATGACGTGACGCCTTACCCGCCCAGCACACAGTCAGCTTCAATAACTCATACCTGCTGCTAGACTCCTGTTTCTGAACATGTCGTAGCGCGCACGATGTTTGTTTGGCCCAATTAATTAATCTGACAGTTTGCCTCGTACCGTGTTTACTAACATAATGTAGTAATGATGAATAATTTATTTTCATGCGAAGTAAATAGGTACTTCATCTCGACAAAGAAAAGTACCTACTATCGACCTTTGTTA